AACGTCATAACTCAAACAACTGTTGTTCGTTGAAATTCGAATCACATAGTCTATAGTTAAAATGAAAATCTCATTGTTCTCCTAATTTTCTCAGTAAAAGTAGCATGTTAAACACTATATTCATTACGTTTTTTAAACATCTATAAATAGTGTAAGATTGCTGTTCAAGAATGTTTTATGCATTCTGATAACGAGAGTAATTAGTAATATAACTGATTGGATGTCAAATATCTTTCTAGGATGAAACTTTCATTTATCGTGATCTACTTTTTTTTCTATGTGTGTATGAGTATGTGCTTTGTGTTTTTTTTTTGTTTTGTTTTTACATTACTGCAAGTACTATATGAAGGCAAAGGGACAAATTGTTAGTTACTTTTCTTACCTGTTCAATTGAGGCAGTAACTCCGTCTGAAACCAATATGAAAACTGTGATAAGTTTATCTGTCAAGGCTTATTATATAATAAAATATATCGGTATGGATTCTCTTTGATCATTGTATTGCTTTAACTTGAATTATCTAAGTTTTTGTTTGAAGTGTTTTAACGATATTGTAAAGCTTACAATGCCGCAGCGTTAACGTACATATTTTACTCCTATTGACGTTTCGGTAAAACACAAGCCAACACCAGTTCCGTTTCTTCGATGCAATTTTAAATGTAATACAATTATAAAAACGAATGAGTGAAAAGAAAGACGTATGTATCATATAATACGCCAACCACACTACATCTGCCATATCCAGTGCCGTTTGTGCTATATTACTTTCCATAAATGGAAGGGAAACTCTGACATTTTTCAACTGTCACAAGTTGTAATAATAGTTCAGTTCTTATTATTTCTATTTAATGTTTAAGATTTTTACGAAAAGATAATGAGCCTTTTGTCGAACTTTCTGTCTTTTTATGTGAAAATGTATTCTGCCTTTCTCCCCTTCAGCTGCCAGCTGTTGTTATCATAGCTAAAAACTAGCCAGTTGAAATAGTATGACCGGATTGGTTTTTAAGGGTGTATTGAATAAAGAGTTTTGGGTTTTGTTTTGAACTCATGTTTGAATCTTTCCTTTACTCTTCGTATTTAATTTGTTTCCAGTAATGAAGTTTTTCGAACTTCCCCTATTGCAGATTTCGTATTTATTTGTTGGAATTCAGTTTTACCTAATGACACTAAAGATTCACGGGACTTGACAGAATTCTGTACAGGTGTATGCGTGAAAAACAAATTCACTAGAATTTTAGTAGATCGTGGTTAGCAGCAAAAGTGCTAATTTGACGTTCATAATACATGAGTAATTATCTACTAAAATCTAATTACATGAGTGTATAACATGTAACTAAAACGAAATTGTTTTAGGGGAAATATATATGTCGTTGCGTATTTTTATTAAAATATCAAGCATATATTTACAGAATGTATGCACAAACACAGTAGATTATGCATATCTTATAAAGAATAAAATATCTTGAAAAATCGTTTTTCATTATCCACGAATCCTGTCCAGAAATGATGTTTTCAACAACCGGTTTGTCTCAAATAACATGTAACCTATTCTACAAAAAACGTGCTACTTAGAACGTGAGGTCATTATCTGGCTCAATACATAACTTAGATAAGGATTTCGAGGTGCACCGTATTCACTAGAACTTGGGGAGAGGGTGAGGGTGTCTCTGACTCTTAAATGCATGTGCATGGCTTTTTATTTCGCCTTGACCGATTAGCAGAATTACGATAGCACAGCTTTGGACCTTCGTACCATTAGTACGCCTAGGCATAGTAAGTCACGGTAAAGGAAAAAAAGTTGATCAATATAGTACAACCACGAGAAAGGACGTATTAAAATTTTTTTTGGGGTTCGATTCTCCGTGGTGAACATAGCAGATAGTCCAATGTGATTTTGCTTTAAAACAAACAATACAATACAAAGACTTATCAGAGGTTTTAAAATAATGTTTATGTAATTGTGTAATTGAAATAATTTCAAAAAATACTTGTAAAAGTAAAAGTTATTATTAAAATTTTAACTGGCAGGATATATTAAAATGTATAAACAGCTTCAAAGCTAATATAGAACTACAAAAATTCAAAAAAGAAGAAATCTATCAGTTGAAATTCAAGATTGTTGAAAAACACAATAGTTTGTTGTTAAAGAAATGTTCCAAGATATGGTTTGAATTTCGCGCAGAGATATTGAAAGTCTATCTGCGCTAACCGTCCATAATTTAGCAGTGAAAGAATAGAGTGTAGGAAGCTAGACAACACCTCTCACTTATAAAAAAGACCGTTATATTATAATGCCTTCATGGTTGAAAAGGCGAACATGTTCGGCAACAGGGATGCGAACCTAAGTGGCTTTAGATATTGGAATAACATTGCACATCGTTTTAAACGAGTATGTACTAGAATGAACATTTGAAATATCTTGAGATTTATTTATTTTTTAAATTCATGTGTTTGAAATTATAAAAAAAAATTATTTTCTCATAAATTTCAATTTTATTATTAATATAACATGTCAACATTGTGCTTAGGCAATTTCCTATTTGTAGTAACTTTGTATTTTATTTTGAGCCAAATAACTTTTTAAACCGAAAATACATTTATATTCTTCAGGATACTGTTTGCTCAATAAGTTATATTCTGATTTGTTTTCTTCTTATTGTTGTAGGCTTTGTTTAATATTTTAATTAATGTGGACGTTTTGATTGTTTGCTGGAAAGAGCTTTGGTATGATCATGTGTGACGCGTATAAATTTTCTGAGTATCTTGATTTGACTTGACGTCCCGAATATTCTAAGGACTTGTGCTAAAAATCATGAGCGTAGATTGCTTGGTTCCTGGGGCCTGGACGCCCATATGTTTAAAAAGAAAAAATAATTCTAGCCATAATTTCACATATTTGGCAAAGTACAAAAATCTAAACAAATCATAGATATGATTTTAACAAGCATGCACTGACACGTGCATTACACGTGCCTTATTATAGCTTTCCTTAGGTAAGAACTAAAAAAGTACATACTACAATAAATTTACGTGTTCGTTTTTTCGCCTGGGAGTTTGGAGTTTAATACGGTCGTCAGTGCCAACCGTACATAGAGAGTGCTAACGTACTCTCCAATATATATTCCTAAATTAAAAATATTAAAAATCATTTTCATTGCGTTTTACACATGGTATCCAATCTGTTCATTATTTAACTTAAGGTCAATGGGAACATTCCCTGTTTCCTTGTGTTCCAATTCGCCCCCGTTAAATGTTAGAGCATTACCTTCCTTTGCTTGGGCCTATAACCCGCTATCAGCTTCAAGAAGCATGTTTGTCGTTCATTCTTAACTGTTCATTGCCAAAATACTCCAACAACAAACTTCTAGGGAAACCCATCATACCAGTTCTTTGCCAAGTATGGAGAGTAATACCACAACAGATATAAGATTTTATAATTGTGACATTCAACAGTGTTTCTAATTTCAAAATTGCAAATGGCAGATCAACTAAACACTAATGACATTTTTTACCATTTGTTAATGTTAATTTATTTAATAAAAAACGTTATTCTTTCTGGAGTGGGTATATTGATTTATCGGGGCCAACCGGTGGGACAGCGGTAGCTCTAAGGACTTATAATGCTAAAATCCGGACGAGACGTGAAAACTTTTGTGCCTGTATAGAAACTTTGTAAATTGACATGTAGAAATGAAGTGCATATGTACTGGATGCAAATATATTGCAAATAAAATCAAACTTTGCATTTGACATACTTTATGTTTATCTATTATTTTCACACTTTCGCAACTATCGGCATTTTAAAACTTGTTAGCCCAAATAGGTTCAACACTGTCTCACCGACATAGCGAATCTAGTTTGATTCCATGCAAGTCTGAAACATAAACCTTTCAAAAACATAAAAGCTTGCTTCAAACTACACAAGAACCTCTACTCTAGCTATCCCTAATTTTGACTTGGTAAACTAGAGGAAAGGCAATTATAACTAACCCTTGGGATACTCTAATCGAATAGTGGGATTTGCACTCAAATTACGAGAGAAAATGAAACTAAATGTATATGAATATAAGAAACACAGTTTTAAAAAGCCAAAGAGTAAATCAAAAAAATGAGTAAGCATTTTATAAAAAAACAGGTTCGATAATTTTAATATAGTATCAAATTTATTTCATTAAATCAAAACAGAATTGTCGTTGTGAAATGTGGATTTGGTATGAAACAATACCATATATTTCTTTCTTTCTGTAGTATTATAATTTATTTTGAATATGTTCAAGTTTTCACATAACAAGTGGTATAAAAAAACCGTTCAGTCGATCTTGTTTCATGCTACCCTTTTTCTTGTCTCATGTACAAAGTTGGTAATTACCGTTACTGCCCATGTATAGCATTGCTTACAGTGACCTTGTTTCAGGGAGTTTATGGTAGTCACCTTCAATGGTTGTACAGGCAATATCTAGAAGTTACAGCCCCTCTTATGTGGAATGAGAATGACCAGTCATGTGGTACCGAATGTCACGCTGGGTAAGTGCGAGGTTTCTTCCCAGCTAGAAACCTTGCATTTCGTTAGTCTTGACCTGGTTTTTATTGAGTTTTCAACGACAGAAACTTCTTGAAGATCTTTCTGTCCAACGTAAGCACTCACTGTGTTTTTATCTTTAAATTAAACTTAATGAAACTAAGGTGGATGCTTATGTGTGTATATGTGTAAAGTTGATAATGCTGCATTTTCTGTATCACATATTCTGTTAATTGAATTAAAATATAGTCTTTTGATTTTCTCCTTTAAATATAAATTTTATAAGCATTACTTTGAACTTTATGTAATTTATTTGCTTTCACATTTTCAATATATATATCACTTTTTAACATTTCTTTTGTACTAATAATTTTTTGTGGATATCTACTTACAGAAAATCAGGGGCGAGTAACTGAGTCCGAATGATAGAACACAGAACGATTGTCACCACTATATAAAAGCCAGGAGGAACGTTGTTTGTTACACACTCACATATTCTCCAGCGATAAACCTTCATCAATCTAACCGCAATGAAAACACTGGTGAGTCTCCAAAAGTATTTTATAATTTACTGGTTAAAACATTTCATGGATTAAACTAACGTTTTATTTCTCAACGACTAGCTTTGCTTACCTACTATAACCTTATTTTTTTGCTTTACGGATAGATTCATATATCAATAGAGATATTTCGTAAACACTTACTTTCTAGTAGGAAATTTATCATCATCGACTTCTTAGAAAGTGGTATTTCTGAAAGTGTGTTTGAAGTCCGTATTAGGAAATTTTCATATTTTGGGTGGTGTGATTATTCAATACATATTTGTAGAAATTTGATTTGATATATAAACCATTTACATTATATTAGCACACTGATTATTATCAGAAACGTAAGGAAATAAAATATGAAATTCACTGTAATACACTTATGTACAGGTGTATATTAATAATATTTCTCCTTCAGGTTGCTGTAGTTTTATTCGCCCTCGTGGCTACTGTCATGGCTGGTTATTTAGCTGGCCCGGCAGCCCACGGTTACTACGGGGGTTATGGCTCCTATGGTTACCCCGTTGGTCGTCATTTCAATTACGGAAGCAGAATTAACCACGGTTATGGACATGGACTTGGCTATGGCGGTTATGGTCTTGGACTAGGCTATGGTGGTTATGGACATGGACTAGGCTATGGTGGTTATGGTCTTGGACTAGGCTATGGTGGTTACGGTTATGGACTCGGCTATGCTGGTTATGGCAAAGCTTTGCTCCATTGAATCATGAGAAGGTACATACAGCTTTCTCTTGTATGTCATTCATTCCATGTGTATGCTCAAACTGCATTGTCCCCGTTTTTTTTTGTTGTTTTTTTTTAGTAAAGCCTGCTGTATTTGACCTTAAACACTGCCACCAAGACTAAGCAATTTACTTACAATGTTATCACAGTTAGCGAAAGTTGCAGGGTGTGGCCAAGGACAGATTATTGTTTTTGTTGGGGTTTTTTCTTATTCAAAACAAATATTTTACGGTACATTGTCGTAGATATTTCAGTAAAGCACATTAAGCATTCATGTGTGAAAGAGCGGGAAATGTTGGTCAAATATAGTTTCAATGAACTGTTGCCTAAATAACTTTCTTGGGTAATAAATATGTTATTATCAGTTGCTGTAACCTTGAATTTTCCTAGCAAGGTGAAAACTGTCACGCAAAGATTGAATGAAACCGCACTACACTTTCAACATAAAAATATGTTTTCTTAAAACTCAATTTGGTACTAAACTTACTATAATTAATACTAATTTTTAAGGAAATCTTACTTCTTGAACAAAATGTTCTAGTTTTAGATGGATAACAAAGTGAACAAAAACACCCATTTACTTACCATCCTGTCAAACATATAAAGTTATAAAACACTATTGAATTTTTCTTTTGTACATGTTATCTCACCCATTGTTTAATTCCATCAGTTAATCAGATAGCTAATTAATAACTTTCTTGCTTCCCAGTGGCGCAGCGGTATGTCTGCGGACTTACAAAGTAAGAAACCTGGTTTCGATATCTGTGGTGGGCAGAGCACAGATAGCCCATTGTGTAGCTTTGTGCTTAACTACAAACGGACAATAACTTTCTTGACTATTACGCAGTTTGGATATGAGTGTAATTTGTCAATAGTAAATACGAAGCAATACACCTTTTAAGCTTTTACAGCCTCCGTTGACTAAGCTTTATACGACAAAATTCAGGTTTCGATACCCGTGGTGAGCGCAGTACATATAGCTCATTCTGTAGCTTTATGTTTTGCAACAAACATACAAGTTCTTACAGTGGTTACATAGGAGCAATAACAAAAACTAACGTCACAGGGAGCTTTTTTATTCTTCGCTTGACGTCGTTTCAAAGCATCTTCTCCCCAGTGGCACAAAGGAATGTCTGCGCAATTTGGGTTTCGATACCTGTAGTGGGCAGAGCACAGATAGCCCATTGTGTAGCTTTGGGATTAATTACAAACAAACATATCAAAGCATCTTAGTTTTCTTGTAAATGACTAAGATCTAATCGTTCTGGGAAATAATGCACCATACATTGTTTCGTAATCGACGCTATAACAATTTTTATACTGTGGAAGTTGAAAACCATTAAAAAAACTATAACCTCTGTATATGATGGAAACCACGCATTTGGCTGTTGTTAAAACATTTTGATAAAACGAAGCCAGCTCTGAGTTTTGAAACAGTGAAGTATTACATAGTTACGTATTCTGACTTGATATACTGTTATATAGATTTGTGAATTCTGGCATATATTGTTATCCAGCTTGAAGTTTGACATAGTGTATTGCTATATAACTGAGTTTTAAAACAGTGAATTGTTACATAGTTATAAATTCTGGCATGCTATGTTGTTACATAGCTTGGAGTTGTCATAAGGTGTACTGTTACGTTCCTATAAATGTTGATACATGATTGTTTCATTATTTTTCATAATGTCAGAAAAACACGGAGGTAGGTTCAATAGTCGGTTCTATTGAAATTAAATTATCTTTGTAACGTTGTTCTTTCATTCGCAGGTTCTATTTAAATTATCAGATAGAAATAATTCAAAGTCAACACAAACGTTAACAAATTAGTTTGTTTCTTCGTAACGTTTCTACAAGTTGCTTTCACTTGCACATTATTGTAACCGGTAATTTGTAGGTCTAGATAACTTGACAACAGAGTAATTACTACAAGGTTACATTGTCAGTGTAGTGTGACATAGAATTTAGAATTACTACAGGCTAAGAAACACAGAATAATGTAAACTTTTTCTATTTATTGTAACTCTGTACCGACGCAGTTTATGAAGAAATGTTTAGTGTTATTTAGACCGTCTCACCTTATAAACTAAACCTCGAAATAAAAATAAAACACTTAAAGTCAACCCTTATCATTCAAATATTATTATATTCTTCCCTTAAGCTACTTTAAATACATACATGAAAGCAACTCTCGAAAAAAGTACTATATTAATTGTTTATGTCAAAGATACCAAGTTCGGAATTACTATACGGAAATTTGAGGGTTGAGATGAATGGAGTTCAGTCGAACTGGATTAATGTCCTAAGTGGGGTACCTCAGGGCTTTGTGTTAGGACCTTTGCTCTTTCTGGTTTACAACGAGAACAGAGATGAAGGAGTGGTCAATAAATTATTTAAGATAACCGAAGGTGTTAAGGCTTGGGTCTGCTGACGGTGAGGAGGAAGATGCTGTTTTACAAAAGGATTTGGATTATTTGGTGAGGTGAACGAATAAATGACAGATGCCTTTTAATAACTGCAAGGTAATGCGTGTGGGATATCATAATTTGAATTATGGGTAGAGTTTTAATAAGAATAACCTTAACATTGTTATGGAAGAGAATGATCTTGCTGTTCTTGTTAATCAGTCTCTTAGCCATCCAAGTAATGTGCTGTTGCTAGTGGCAGGGCAAATAGGATATTAGGTTGTATCTACAAAAATACTGAATACAAATATAAAGATGTTATAACGTTCAATCTTGGGTGCTTTACCTAAGGAAGGACTCTGCGTTTTTGGAAAAGATTCAGAGGACTACTGAGATGATACATGGGATGGAAATGTTGTCCTATGACGATAGGATAAGATCTCTGAAATGATCTTCTCTTGAAAAAAAGAAGAGTTAGAGGGGGATCTGATTGAGGTGTTTAAAGCTGCTAAAGGAATTGATAATGTTGATGCATCATCTATTTCTATACTTAATGGTGAGAATGGTAGGATTAGGTGACAGAAATATAGATTTTAGCAGGAAAAAGTATTCTTCAGCTAAGACAGCTTTGTTTTTCTAACAGGGTGGGCTCACTATGCGAATATTAAATGCCAAAAACAATGGCTCAGTCCTAGAAAAAAAAACACTTCCGACCACAAAACCTGGACTCCATCCACAGAAAGTGATGCTTTGCAGTTGGTGGGACATCAAAGGAGTAATTCATTTCGAACTCCTCAATCCACAGCGAACTTCTCAATACAGAGATCTATAGTCAGCAATTGGAACGTTTAAATCAAGTCCTTTATCAGAAACGCCTTTCACTCGTAAATCAGAAAGGTGTTCTTCTTCTCCACGACAATGCACGTCCACATGTAGCACGTTTGACGCAACATAAGATTATGGAGTTGGGTTCGGAAATTCTCCACACCCACCATATTCTACAGATGTAGTACCATCAGATTACCATCTTTTT